GAATTTTGTTGTGTTCTATGCGAAATTTTGTGCTTATTTGCGTTTTCAGGGTCAGCCTGGATATCACAGTCTGCTTAAACTCCTTTACAGATAGCTACAGATTGCCTGTTTGTACTTTGTTTGTGCCCACATCATCAATTGTCACGGAACATCGTATCCAGTTTCGTTGATAGGCTGAAGTAATTTTTTTTTTTTTAACTGTTTTTTCATCTTGCTACACTCACCTGTTCTGTTTCTCGTTCTCACTTTTCTTACTTTTCGGCTTCCTCTTACCCATCACCGTCCGAATGATGTTTGTGCTAAAATATTTTTGGTGAAAAAAAAGAAAAAAGATTTTGGTAGCAGCTGTTTTGCAGTACGTTTTTTTTGGTTTGATAATTTTGATTTTTATTTTCATAGCAAAAAAATTTATTGTATTTTCGCTTGTTTGGCATGCTTTATGAAATCATCGATGGCCAAGAAGGGAACAGATTGTGTTTTTGTTGGTAATAACTGGTCCCGAAAAGGTGCAGGACGTGGATGAACATGGTTGTGCCAAACGCTGTTTTCACTCCCATTTTCTACGTTGCCTGGTTCGCGAAATCGTTTCCCGCCAACATATTTCTTTGGGAGTCCCGTTCGCGGGGTCTAGACGTGTATGGGGAGGATGACACATGGGGTAGGAACATATATCCAAAGTTTGTATTGTCGCCACCGATTGCATCAAAATATTTTCTTTTTTTTTCCAGTTTTTTATCTATTAGCCTCCGATATCAATTGAAAATTATGCATTTTCCCTGTTCGCGAAGAGTACATGCAGCTGGATTTTGGTCACTATTATCAAAATTTTAAAATGTTTTTCTTGTAAGGGATTTTTAAAACTTGATCACTGCAAATTTTTACACTTATATTTGGTTTGACTTTTTTTTTTTTGATGGCTTATCAGTACGTTTTTTCCGTACTTTGAGCCACTGCTTGGTTTTTTTTGGAGAGTTATGTCAGTTAGTCAGTCAGTTCACATGTCTTTATCACTTTTATCAGTAGCAGCACTGATCATTTTGTCAATAAATTGTTGTCTTTTTACTTTATGTCAGTAAAGTTTTCTTTTTTGTGTTTCGAAATATGGATTTGCTGCTATATGCGCAAAGTG